TAACTTAAGTAAAAAATCTAGATGGTTTTGTCAGAGCCTAAGTGTTGATGCCAGAACAAAATCACAACCTCAGAACCAAACTGCTTCCTTGCAAGACATTTTCAGTTACTTTGACAGTTAACAATGCTTTTGAATAATTCTACAGATATTTTTAAAGCCATTAAAATTGTAGCAATTAAGATTTAACAGTACAGCTGAATCTAAGTAGTGACTAAGGTCCACAGAAGATATTTTGTTTGTCTTACTTTCCATTATTTCTCTATCCTACTTTGTCAGTGAGAGGCACATATGTATGATGTTGCCACTATTCTTTCAGCATATGAAGGTAAGAAAAAAGCCTAATAGTAGGAGATATTTAAAAATCACCATATACGTATTATTTTAGAAGTGTATCTTTCAGATTTTTGTTTCCTTCATTGCTTTTCCAGAACACCCATTTACCCATCATTTATGCACTTGTACCTTCATTCACTTATCCATTTATTTGCTTATCTGCCAAAAATTAAAAGACAACTACAACATTATACCCTTAAAAATGTATAGTTCTCTGAGGAAACAAGTAAATAAGTACATGAATATTGCCGTTGATTGTAACATTAACTTCCTGTGGGAATCAGGAGAAGCCTCAGAGAGATCATGAAAAATAGCTCTGAAATTAGGTAAAGGTTACTGTGAAAGTTTTCAAGCTTAGGGTTTCTTCTGAACTCCCCCAATGAGCTGATAGAGATCCTGAGTAAAATCAGTTTTGGTTAATATAGTCCCCGTTGTTTCTACAGTTAGATAGTGTTATAACTTTCTATGGGCGTATAGTTCCCAATTTAATAATAAGGCCACAGGAGGAGACTGACAGTGACTCAACCAGGTAAGTTCTCTTTTCTTCCCATCACCAAAAGCCTGCATGAGGCTAGTCGGTTCTGGCCGCTTCTGCCATTCTTGATGTGGCATTCCTCTGAATTATGACTTCAAGACCTTAAGATCAGTTCATGCTTCTCCATCTCCAGCTTCCTATCCTTGTTCAAAGAAGGATAAAGAAAGAAGTGAAATGGAGAGGCATCCATATAAGGAAGACAAAACTTTTCAAAAATTCTTATCAGGCCTCCACTTCTGTTTTACTGCCAAACTGTACCACATAGCTAAGTATGTCTATAATGGGAGTCTTGGTAACATAAGCTTTTTTTTTTTTTAACGATAGGGAGGAAACAGAGAAATAATGCTAGATAGGTAAATAGCAGACTTTTGACAGGGAGGACCTAATATATAAATATAAAATTATATATAAATATAAATATAAAATTATATATAAATATAAAATATAAATATAAAATTAGAATCCACACATTAAAAAATCAGCTTTCACTGATGTGTGTTGAGTGCCATAAGATATCGTGAACTTGCCAAGAAAGTATGAAAATTCCAAGGCTGAATTTTCTCCTCCTTTTTTCTTATGCTCCCCTTGCTTGTTATGGGATACGGAGTATTGAGATAATGAAGGGTGTGTGTGTGTGTGTGTGTGTGTGTGTGTGTGTGTGTGTGTGTGTGTGGTGTGTAAGCCATGGTTGCAGTGTACCATTTGAAATAAGATGGGGACTTAGATAATTTTGTTCCTGTCATGCTGGTAGGTCCTCTCTGTCAACAAAGCATTTGTGAGCCAGACTTGGTAATAAGCACAAAGTATGAACTTTCTTTCCAGGAGAAGTGAGGTTGTGTGGGAAAATGAGCTTTCACTTGACAAAGTTTCAAATGAGAAGATGCTTTACATATATAGTTAGATTTTACTGATCTACTAGTAGTTCATAAACTCGAGAATAAAACCTGCTGTGGGGAATCAAAAATCTGATTGGCGTGGGCTCAAAAGAGAGGGAAGCGGATGAAATGGAGACAGAAATGGACAGTTCGTTCGGGTTTTACTCTAGGAGTAGTTACTATGTGTCAGGGTGGAGTGGTATAACATCTTGGGAATAATAAAAGGGTTTCTAGCTTGACAGACTGCATGGGTGGCAGCATCATTATTTAAGATCGAGAATACAAGACACAGGAGAGGTTTGGAAGAAGTGTAAGAGATTTGCTGTTTGGGAATTACTGAGGGATTTAAATGGCTCTTAGTGCCCGTTCTCATTAGACTGTAAGAGATCTGGATCTCAAGCTTGATAAATGGTTATGGACTGACCATATGTATTTGGGAATTAAATGTATATTAGTGTCGTTTCTAGGGCTACCATAACAAAACCTGGTGTCTTAAAACAATAGATATTTATTATCTCCCAGTTCTGGATGATAAAAGTACAAAACCCAGGTGTCAGCAAAGCCATACTCTCTCTAAAGGCTCTAGGGGAGGGTCCTTCCTTGACTCTTTCTAGATTCTGGTAGTTGCCAATAATCCTTGGCTTGTAGGAGCATCACTCTGGTCTCTGCCAGTGTCTTCTCATGGAGTTTGCCCATGGGTGCCCATATCTAAATTCATCTCTCTTTATAAGGACACCAGTCATTCATTGGACTAGGGCCCACCCTCCCTCATTCACTTGACCTCATTTTAGGTGGATTACATCTGCAAAGACCCTATTTACAAATAAGGTCACATTCACAGCGGTTGGGGGAGAGGACTTCATTCAACATATCTTTTCAGAGGATGCAATTCACCCCACAATGATATGTGTAGCCAAAGAAGCCACAAAAACAGATGTGATCACCCAGACAGAGGATGTGGAATGAGAATAGGACCAGTGGTAATCCCTTGGAAGTACTCTACCTTAAAAGGAGAGTAAGCTAATAAAGGGAGGGAGGGTATAAAGACATGGTATAGTCAACAAGACAGAAAAAGTAATCCAGAAAAGTTTCATTTTGACAAATGTATTGTACAGATTTGATAAGAGGGTTAAAAGTCTTTCAAGATTTCAAGTAGCATAAGTACTAAGAATAGACGACTGTAACTCTGCTAAATATGGAGAGGAACAAGTTTGGGAACAGATGAATAATTTAGGACACTTGTAGCGATCCAGACGATTGTGATGGCTGCTTGACCCAGGATGTGGCTGTGGAAAGGAGAGGACTGGGCATATTACTGAAGTAAAGTCAAAAGGAACTGGTGCTGGCTTGGATATAGAATAGGAGTCAGAGATGACTTCCAGGGTTTTTCTTTAGCAAATTGCAAGACCGAGTTGGCATTATTGAGAGAAACAATGCAGTGAATCCATGGAGAGAAGATGATTTCAGTTTTAAATATGTTGATGACATATCTGTCATATTTTCTAGTGGCAGGGTCTAGTGTGTTGATGCATATTAGGGTCAGAGACTCAGAAGGGGATTGAATCCAAATGTAGCTATGTGGAAGTTGTCTGAAAAGAAAGATGGTAATTCAAACCATGAGAATAGATGACATTATCCAGAGAGATAGTTGATTTACAAGGGAATATACCTGTTGTACATGGAGGGATGGGGGAGAAAAGAAGCACCACCAAAGAGACTGGGGAGAACCAGCGAGAAAGTTCAAGAGGAAGACCAGGAGAATGTTGTGCCAAGACAGAGAAGAGAGCCTCCGTGTCCCAGAGCTATAAACAGTGGCATCAATGGGTGCGATGACAAGCAGAATGAGAGCTTAGAGGAGTATATAAACTATTGAAAAACCAAAATATGCATGTTGTGTGAGTCCGTGTGTGTGTGTGTGTGTGTGTGTGTGTGTGTGCGCGCGCATGCAAGCACGTGTGTTTGCAGAGTCATTTTTGTGCTTTAAAAGGGGTACGTGGCAAATTAAATGGAGTTTTTGGTTGGAAAGAAATCTTTTAGTCACCTGACCATGAAATGGAGGCAAATTGTACTTACAAATGAAAATGACCGAATTGATAGGGAAATACACAGACATAAGTGAAATTGACTTAAGCCTTGGCAATGTTTAAAATCCAATGGGGAATTCCAGACAGAACAGAGTTCAGAGGAAGAGGAGAGAGAATGGCAATTGAGCACATCTCCCCCCCAAAAAAACCTGGGAAGGGAAATCTGAGCTCAGTGGGTTGGTTCCCATTCTGTGGAGAATGGTCACTTCTCTGTTGCATTGGGAGGTAAGAGGAAGAGGATGCTGTTAACTGGAAATAGGTGTCAAATATGTTATTCAGCTAAGAATGATCATCCAAATTAAGGAGGGAGGAAGAGTAAAATGACTTACAGACGTTAACTCTAACTCCAAATGTTGTGTTCATGCTGTTTATAAGAAACATGCTGATTGTGTTTCTTCTGTCCTTGCCTCTTTCTTTGGACATTCAGTGCTGGTAGTATCAACCAGAGAAGCTCTCTTTTATGTGGTCTACTGCCACCCCTTTGTCAGAGCTTCCTGACAGCTGTGTCCTGTCACTGAAGGTCACTCCCTTCCTCCCTCACCCCAGGGGCCAGTGAATTCTCCCTGGGGGTGGGCCCTCTGAGATGGAGCTCCCAATTCCTGCCACATGGCTGAAATCCAGGGCTTTGATATTCCGTTTTTGTATCATGATTTGCTTGCTCAAATATTTTATTAAGTATTCTTTTTTTGCCAGTCTACTAAAAATCACATTGAACCAATGGTATTTCCTATTGCTCCTGTGATCTGTAGTATAATCTCTAAGTCTTGCAGATAGATACTTTATTAGTTTTTTTTTTCTTCACCATTTGAGTTTTTTCTATTACTATTACAAGTTACAATTATCGCTATTAAATTTACATGTTAAATTTATATGTTAAATTTATATGTTAAATACTTGTGGATGAAGGGATGGTTATTTTCTTCCTTTTTCACTCACAGTACATGGTTTAAAATGGTTGGCGTTGGGTAGAAAGCTTTGTATAGCGTACTTAGTTAGGGAACATTAAAGTGATTTCATTTTGGTTCACTCACTTGTGATCCAAAGAGGGTGTTGTGGTATTGGTTTTGATAAAACCTCACAACCAATGGGAATCTTTTTTGAGTTAGTGTGGAGTGGCCTTAATGCTGGAAATAATCCTGTTGGCCAGGACCCCAGAGCTATACAGATGAGAAAAGGATGCAGGAAATTCTGTTGTTTACACATGTGTCTGTAACACTGAGCCGCTGGAGCAGCCCAGCAAGCCCAGAGGGTAAGATGCCTAATAACCTTGTGGTTTTCTATTTAATTATTATATTTTCCTGCTGGAGTAGAGCATGTGGTATTCTCGGAGCAAAGAAAAAGACAGTTGCTTATAAGATGCAGAACAAAACTACTGTAGGTCTGGGAAACAGAGGGATTTGGAGTTTCTTCTTAAAGTGGACTTGATTCCTTCCCTCTTTCTTCCACTTTCCACTGTTGGTATTATTTTTCCTGACAGCTTGCCATACTTCTCCTGTTTTTAAAAAATAACTATGCTAAGCAAAACTCAGGTAAGAATTTCAACTCTAAATTTAGACATTCATAGATTATGTTGATATTAAAACTTTGTTTTGTAGTTCCAAGTGAATACGAGTTAGTCAATATGTTTGAAGTAATCTATATCCTTAGAATTTTTAAAAAATATAAAACTGTTATGCGAACCCTCATATTTATGTCTCATGCATTCAGAGTTATTTTCATTTTGTTGGATAGCCTCATGCTGAATTCCTGTTATTGTTAACAGAAAAGTATACTTCAAACTTAGGACCAATATTGATTTCCTTATATAAGTTACCTGGGTAGTATGGAGGAAATAGGGACATAGAATCAAATAATAAAATCCTGTAGATAATAAAAAAGAAATGGATCTTTATATGGAAAGTAATTATAGAACTAAAAGGGAAAAAAAAAGATCTCTGGAAACCATTGGGAAATATTTGTTAATGTTTTCCACAAAGATAAATTATAAAATGAATGTTGAGTGGGTATGTCTATTGAATAGAAATATAATAAAGATATTTAAAAACAGACACATGTAAGTAACATATGCAGTTGAAATACAAATGATATTTCTTGATACGCTCATTTATATCAAGACTAGTTCTCTGTTTCCTGAAGTCATGCAAATATACTTTTGCTAATACTTTTGTGGAATTGGGTTTTTTTTTTTTTTTTTTTGGAATTGGGTTTTGTTAAAACTGTTGATTAAATGCCTTGCTTTTCGTCATTTTTTTTGTTGAATATCCTTGCATATGCATTAAATATTCCTGAATTCTGACATTTATCCACATTTTTACATAACCGTTAGATTGAAAAGGAATCTTAAAAAGCTAGAGATACAATATCTGTGTAATTTTTCTGTGATTTTGCAAAATTGATTTAAGGTATCAATAAATCTATTTGCATGACATTCAGAAAAATGCTTTATGTGAATTGCTTTTTCCCCCAAAACTTAAAAAAAAAAATAGTTTTCTTGTAAACTGACAGATCATATAATGGTCTCTCTTTTGCATTTTTCATGTTTTTGTTGGATTCAGTAATTGCTTGATCACTGGGACATAGATAGCTTCCTGGTGCTTTGCTACAGTTGTGACCTTGAAATTTATGAGCGTTTCCTCTAATTACTAGAGCCACAAATATAATGACAGTGATTCTTTAAAATTAAAAATGATATAAGGACAACTTCTCTTTGGAGAAGTACCATTTCTCCTGGGCTGATACTGCAAGGTTAATTGAAATTTTCTATAATGGCAAAACCTTCAAAAATCCTCTTTTTAGCAAGATTTCATAGAAGCCTTGAAAGAAAAGTCCAGCTTCCTGAGCTGAGTCTTGAAAAATCAGTAGAATTTAGATAGTTGTTAAAAAGCAAAAAGACCATTCTACTTCGCAGTAATAGTTGAAGCAGAGTTTTGAGGCATAAATTAATGTGAAACAAGGAAGGTGAGGGGTGAGCCTCACTGGAGAAGAAAAGAAATGCACCACTGTGAGTAGCAGACATTGTGCTCAAGAGTGAGACAAAGTTGTGAGGTGCAGAACTATATACTCTGAATACACAGAGTAATTTTTTCCCTGTATATTGTACAATGGGGGCAGTTGGGCATTTCTGAAGTGACGGGGAGCACTTATTCCTCTTTGGTTTGTCGTCGTCGTCTTTATCATCACCACCACCGCACTGCCAGCAAATAATAGCATTTCCTATGTGTAAGATAATTTACATACTTATCTATAATTTTGATAGTTGCAGAATAGAATGAACTTCATTTTACATATCTTCGTTTTACACTTGAAGAAATTTGATGTTCAGAAATGTTAAATGATTTCTCTAAAGCCACAGATAGACTAAGTTCTGGAGCAAAGATTCCAAATAATGTCTTTCTGGCTCCAGAGCTATTTCCACTCCACTCCACTGGTATTTGAGGAATGTAAGCCTGGCAGAAGTTAAGCAGAGTGGTTTGGGATGGCATTGGGGTAATAGAGTGCAGGGAAGAGGCAGTGAGACAGCCTTGTAAACCGGAGCTAATCCCCGTTCTCTCAGGTGACCCATTCTTACCTGTGGGAATAGAATGAAGAAATTGAAAATAAGCAGTTTTTATATTTAAATTGGCTGTTCTCACATTCAGTTCATGCTTTCCTCTCTTATTTTCTTGAACGTTGTATTCAAAGATGTCTTTTGATTTCTCAGAGGAAATTTAACCACTGATTTTCATCAGATATCACGTATTCATAAAAAAATGCTTGCAGTCACTGGAATTGATATTGGGAACACATTGGGATTCTTTCATTTCTTTTTGATGTGTGATATGAATGAATGCTTATTGACCACACTTTCTTAAAATTATGGAAAGACTCAACTGTTATCAAAGAAAAGTATCATGTAAGTTTTATTTGAATGGGTGAAGAATATATATAAAATTTATGTTGCTAATAGATAATGTGGAGTGCAGTATGTCTGTAATAAAAAGAATAAACCCCATTTAACATTTTTACTCCGATATCTAACCTTAAACATATTTTACTTTTCTCTAAATAGGTGTTTTATAAAAAATGTATAATTATATACATGTATATATATATATATATATATATATATATATATGTATATATATAATAGTGTCTATGCTATCATTTTACAAATGTACTATCTACTATTTTACAAGTTTATTGCCAGTTAAGTAGGTTTTACTGGCCTTTTTTGCCATATGCCCAAACAGATGAAGATAGTTGAAATGTAAAGATCCATTCCTTTAAGTTATCATTACTAAAACAATAAGTACATTTGTCAGTTCAAATACTGTCATCACTGACTTTAAGACATTTCATTTTAATTAAACAGGTCTAGGCTGTACTCCATGGTTTTATAGACGGCCTTTTGCGTACTCAGGGCCTGGTCCTCAGTTTGGTCCTCAGTGCCCTGGTCAGCTGTAGGTGCACAATTGTTATCAAGTGTGCTAAAGGGAAACTGGGCTTCTTATTGGAGGGAAGCAGCCCATCAAAGAAAAGGTGGGTTGTGCTCAATGCCATTCCATTAAAGTCATAGCTTTGCAGATTACTGATATTTCATATAAGTAAATATCTGGGTGATTTATGTATGATGATATTTGCTAAGAGTTACTGTTATATATAGAAAAGATGAAAAGATATTTGATGTTAAAAACTGATAGAAGCAATTTTTGATAGCTGAAAATAGAAGAACCCCTTTGAGTAAAAAACATGTTCATTGCAGAGCTTACAAATGGTATCTTATAATCCTTGTCTTCAATTTGTAGAATTAAGGCCCCCCCCCAAAAAAAAAATAGTAGTGCTAGAGCACTTCCACATCAGAGGCAGACCCACCAGGGCAGAATGAGGAGCAGTACTCAGTGAGGTAGGAGGGAACCGGGAGAGAGGAGTCTTCCAGAAGCTAAGTAAATGAGTCTGGAAAGATGAAATGGTCAGTTATATAATATGCTGCTGATTGGTCAAGGAAAATAGGACTTAACTGTTAATTAGATTTTGCAATACAGAAGTCATTGATTTCCTGTTTTTGTAGAGATCTAGGCTTGAAAACTGATAGAATGAGTTCAAGAGAGAATGAGATGAGTGAAAATATCTTCTAAAGATTTTTACTTAAAAAAATGCCAGATAAAAGTCATGGCCCCTGGATGGGAATCAAGATGATTTCCATTTTTCAGGCCATATTATAGCATGTCCATTTGCTGATGAGACTGATTTAAGAGAGAGTTTAATTTGGCTAGGTAGGACAGAGAGGACTGTGTTTGTATTTGCAGGAGCAAAGTCTCTTAGAGGGGATTCAGATGGAACATACAAATGGGAAGTTTGACCTTATGGGCCCGGATGAGAAGGGGAAAGTCAATTGATAGGGGAAATGTAGTAGGGTTGAGTTGGCAGTACTAAGGGCTTATTTGATATTCAGAGTCAAGAACTGAAGTGAGACCTGAAACCGAGCAGTGTTTTCTCAAAGTATTAGCAGGTGCTCAGATGCATTTGTAGAGCAGGCAGATAGTTGGATGTTTTAGCAGGCAGAATTGGAGTTTTCTAGACAAGTAAGGTTAAGAGAATACCATTCTAACTGAGGGTAATTTGTTAATAATGGAGCTTGGAAAAGGGAGGGCAGTGTTGATATGAACTAGGTGGTAAATAGAAGGTAATGGGGTCAATTAATAGGACATCCAAGTTGAGTCAAAGAAGAGAATTTTCAGGACAATAGGAGAAGGTAATCAGAAAGGTGCTTAACATTGAAATGGGAAGAAATGCTAGTATGGTAATAGTGCCTAGGCTGTATACCAGCCAGTAGGTGGGTGAGGTAAAACCATTGGAATTAATAGGAACTGAGAGATGAGAATATTATAAGGATATTGCATGTGAAAATATTTTGGACATTAAATTAGTTTTTCATCCCTGAAAACATTCCATTACCTAACCAATTAGTACCATAATTGTTTTTACTAGATACATCTTATTTTTTATTAATAATTTTTTAAAAATTTATTTAAGTGTGAAAAACTACTCCTGTTATAAAATACATGGAAAAACACAATATTTTATGTATGGATTTTATTATGGCAGAAGATAAAAATCCACAACTAAACACTAATTTTAATACCCATTCCCATACTGAGACTCTAATTTTGTTAATAATTTCATCCACTTACCTTCTTGCTACTTTTTTAACATATCCATCACCTCATACAGTTACCAACTTAAAATTTTTTAACTAAAGCATAGTTGACA